AAACAGTGAATTGGACTTGCACGCGCGCACGCCAGCGACGATGGTTTGTGCTCCGCAAAGTTTTCATTTTATTTTATGTGCTAAAGAAAAATTAATTTGTGATGGACAAGCAAAAAAAACATCACAGCTGAAGGATGGGTTGTGAAAGATAAGTCATGGGGGGGAACAAAATGAAAAAGAAAAAAAATGAGCGAGTGGGGGGTGTGAACTGAAAAAAATAAATGGTGAAGTGGTGTGAACTGAAAAAAAAGAGCAGGCGGATCCAAAAAAAAAAAAAAAAAAAAAAAAAAAGAGAGAGAGAGAGAGAGAGTAGAAAAAGAAGACAGACAGCAAGTAAAGAAGGTTATGATGTGAATGAGAGTCATGGTGTGAATGAGGAAGTCATGGTGTGAATGAGAAAGTCATGGTGTGAATGGTGTGAATGAGGAAGTCATGATGTGAAGTGGTGTGAAGTGAGAGAAAAAAAAAAAATAAAAAAAAAAAAAAATAAAAGTGGGCAAAACAAAAAAAAAAAAAAACAAGCAGTGGTGTTTCCCAAGAAAGGAAAAAAATAAAAAATAAAAAATAAAAAATAAAAAATAAAAAAAAAATTAGTGTCAAGCGTAGAAACCGTTCATTCGGATTTTGATGGTTGGTTAAGGGGTTAAGGGGTGAATAAAAGGAAACAAAAATGAGAGCTTGATGTTTATTGACTGTTCACCAAAGACGTTACTAATTTTTTTTTTTAATTGTGAGAATGGACCAAAAAAAATGGACTTGTCCATTCCACTTAGTCGGGAATGGACGAGACAAAGAGAGGCATGGACAGATCTGTCCATTTCACTTGGTCGAGTACTTTTGAGCCACTGGTCGAGTCTTTTGAGCCTCTGGTCGAGACTTTTGAGTAGGTTCGTCACCAGCCTGAGTAAGAAGCTTCGGCAAGAGCGGTCACAAACTGCCTCAACAGGCAATTCCGCCTTGCAGCACGTTCATTCGCTGCACGTGGCTCCGACTTCAGACTGGTGACGAGCCTGTCTGATGATAAAGATAGAGCTTGTATAGTTAATGGGCGCTACCAACTTTCACTTTATACCACTTTCACTCCATACCACTTCAAAAGAAGGAAGAGTGAAGTGCCAATTTCATTCCTCTTGTCTTGTCGCGAATCAATTAACAAAAACCGATTTGAATCCCATTGTCGCGAAACAATTAACAAAAACCGATTTGAATCCCATTGTCGCGCATCAATTAGGCTTGAGAGGTATGAGTGTTTCATAGTATCTTGGAGAAAAAGCAGTGTAAAAAGAAACTTGCCTTTCCTTTTGAAGGAGAATCCATGCTTAAAGAGAGTGGATGGCATTGACGACAAGGTAATAATGGAAAAGTCTCAAATGGCCCCTGAAAATGGTCTGTGCGGGATGACGTAGAACACCACTTCGCAATAGAGGAAACGTTGGTTAATTGCACTTGACGAAAGTAGCTCTGTTGAGACGAAAAATAACTCTCGACCGGGCACTTTAAGCGTCCATAGCTCCTCAAATACTGGGATCTGAGAACTGGGGTCTGGACTATCGAAAGAGAATACCCAGGGCTACCGATCAGCCAAATTTCGAAAAATCCGACACAACAACCCCCCTTTGTCATTAAATACATCACTAGAAGAAATCTGAAACAAAAAATTTCGTCTGTCTCACATTAATTTACTCATTCAATATTGGGACCTGGGGCCTGAGATCTCAAACACTTTGAGGGAATACAGAGTTCTCACAGCTAGTGAAATTTGAGGCGATTCCATGGGCCCACTAACGAATGAAAAGCAAAGATGTGATGGAACGCGCATCATTAAATAAGTACATCTACGTACATCACTGGAAAGAACCTGAAACCAAAAATTTCGCCACGTCACATCTGTCTCACATTAATTTACTTCTCAAATACTGGAGCCAGATGCCTGGTCCAAGCATCATTCAAGAGGGAATGCCGAGTTCTCACAGCTAGTGAATTTTGAGGCGATTCCATCGGCTCAATAACGCTTGTGCTCCCACAAAAAATATAAAAAGATAAGATGCTGTAACTCACCTGAGTCACCTGAGTGATTTTTTTTTTTTTTTTTTTTTTTTACTCTCGACCGGGTACTTTAAACGTTCATAACTCCTCAAATACTGGGACCTGGGACCTGGGGCCCAGATCATTCGAAAGAGGATACTCAGGGCTACCGATGAGCAAAATTTCGAAAAATCCGACACGACACCCCCCTTTATTGTCTCTTAGTGCAAAATCTCTCCAAGTGCAAGGCAGCCGTGCCTAAAAAGATGAATAGGTGGCTTGCTCTTGCAGATGCTTCTCTCGCAGGCTTGTCACCAGCCAGCGGACGAAGCGCATGTGTGTGCGCACGTGCTGCAAGGCAGCCGTGCCTAAAAAGACAGCTGGGTGGCTTGCTCTTGCAAATGCTTCTCTCGCAGGCTGGCGACGAGCCTGCTAACAAGTATAAGATCCTCGTGAAGTCAATAAAACTCGTGGCTTATTACATTTCAGATGTCCGAAAATAAGTTACCCCTCTCTCTTCATACCACTTTCTGTTCATACCAAGAAGAATAGAATAAAAAAAAAATATTTGTCATTATTATAAAAATAATAGTATTTACTTGGCAGCCTACCCAGCGTTATTTGGCCTCTAACTATTTTTTTTTTTTTTTTTTTTCATTCCTAGGAACCGTACATGTTTATAACGCTCATACTTCAAATTAATAAAGCTCCCGTCTTCTACGTCATAGTTATGTGTAGTGACATTGTCTTGTCTCATTTAGAAAACTAATGACTTTTTTTTACAAGTAGGTCGCTCATACAGTTTTGGAGGTGCCATTTGGAGATCAATGCCTATGAGAGGTTTTCGCTCGGAGCAAACGCGTCTCACCTGCTACCTAGACGTCTTCAATAAATCATTCCCTAACCGTGTACATTGAAGGCTGTTTTGTGAAGATGTCATCGCCGCTGCCCTTAGTACCTCCGGCGGCATTAGCTGTGCAAGGCAATGTATCCACAGAACGCTGCTTGTTTTACCACTGATGTTATGACCCTGTTATCAAAAAAAAAAAAAAAAAAAAAAAAAGAAAAAAAAGAAAAAGACTGTATTTGGCAGCCCAGCTGCCACCCAAGAGTGCGAAGTTAAGTGGCAGCCCCCAGAAGTAGGCTGCCAAATAGAGGCAAAAATTACTATATTTGGTATGGGCTGCCAAATAGATTAATCCTATTACGTATTTGTCGTACTTATAAAAGCTAAAAAAATAATAAAGTAAAAATTACAGCACAGAGTATTCCCATGTGGTCCCCCACCATAGTACTGACTCTGCCATCGATTTCTTAACTGCGCAGATCGGACGGGATGCGGTGATTTTAATCGTGTATGGCCGTAATTCGAAGATATAGAATCCTGGTGTAGCTTTTGTCTCTACATTTTCTTGTCACATGCATGCCGTGACTTTGACTCAGTTGGGTGGAGTAAAAAGAGTGGAGATCGCTGGACTTTGGCGTCTAGCAACACGCAATAGATGCAAACATCCTGTGCTGACAGCTTAGTGATGTTCAAGTTTCATTCATGCTTGCTTTCAGGACATT